TCACCGGCCCGGAGCAGCTGCTGTCATGTTATGTCAGCTAAATCACAGGGCTCCGGTGGCCAGGGAAGCGTCTGTGCAGCTGTCTGGGGATGTCCAGTTCAAGCCAAACAAACGGATGAGGGCGAGGATGTTGTGGGGAAATCCTGCCCAGGGCTTAACTCGGGGATAGCTACAGGGAAACACATGCCCATTTATTTGTATGTGTTGGCCTGAGCTGTCATTGGGGTGTCTGAAAGCAGGATTGGTGGGACAGAGCCAGTACAGATAAGTGGAACATCGTGCTCCCCAATCCTCCTGGTGCTCAGCATGCTTGGGCTGTGTGGAGGCTTCTTTAGGCAGCGTCTAGCAAGCTGCAGAAGTGTCTCAAAACTGCTTCTCCCCACTATTTCCCTTGTGACTTGTCCTCAGCAGGATCCCTGCTGCCCTGATATCAGATCTGGGCTGAGCTGAAAGTTCCCTGCTTGGCCAATGGGGTAGGATCTCGGCTATTTGGTGTCAACCCAAGCTGTGCCTGGCTTGTAGGGTGCTCAGTGTATGGCTCCCTGTATGGCTGCTTGCTGTGTCCAACTGTGCTTTACAAATTCTTGGTATCTTCTCATGCCATCAGGTCCTTTGCCCATCAGATGGGTCTGCATGGGACACCATGCACTTGCCAGCATGGTTGCCCATGCTGGGCCATGCTGGCTCCTTAGTATCAGTGCTTGGCTGAGGTGCGTTATAGATATCCCCAAATGAAAGCAAATTGGCTTCTCCTTTTTACCAAGTTCCTGGAAAGCCTTAAAGCACGAGGTAGCTGTCAGACCAGCCCCGTGCCCTCGGCCTGGGTGGCTCGTGGCCACATTCAGAGCTGGCAAGAGCAGGGCAGGCTCGTGGCTGCGGACCACGATGCTGGCCTGGCCCCGGGGAGCTGCAGCGAGCTCCACCAGCAGCCTTTTCAGAAAGACCCTTTTATTCGCATCCAGGGAACACGCGTTTTCAGGCTGGGGCTGGCACTGGGCCAAGCATGTGAAAGTTGAAGGCTCGGAGCAGCCTGGAGAGCGAAAGGTTTAATCACTTGCAGAAAGAGGATCATGTCTTTAGGCAGAGCCTGGGCCGTCTGGCAGGAGGCCGAGTAGGGGAAAGGCAAACGCTGCTCGCCCGGGGCGCTCCGAAATAACTGGGCTGGCGAGGGAGAGGAGGACAGTCCTGAGGGGAGGAAGTAAGGTGCAGCCAGGACTGCTCTGGGTTTATCTCGGGTTGGTGACCTTTGCGTCATGCCCTGAGATGCTGTTGGGTAGACAGGGTGCCATGCCCGGGGCGGCTCCAGCAAGCCTTGTTGATTCCCAGCTTTTGGCTAAATAAAGAGGGAGGGGATGGAAAACCTCCCCAGTGAGTCCTTGCTGTTTGGCTGGTGCCATATGGATGTGCAATGCAGGCAGGAGCAATGAGCGTGTTCCTCAAACAAAAAGGTCAAGCGGAGGCTGTTGGAGCAGCTGCATCCCACTTGGCTGCTTGGAAGGCCCCGCTCCACCAGGAAAACACAGATAAGAGCACCAGGGTTGGCCCAAGCCCAGAAAATCCTGAAAAAAAGCAAGGAATGGGGCTGGATCCTGCATGCTGAGGCCATATAGTTACCCATGCATGAGCAGGGGTACCCAGGCACCATCCCAACCACCTGGTGAGATAAAGTGGGAGCAGAGGGGAGGCTCCAGGAGCTCCTAGATGTCTGTACCTTGCTTTGGGAGCTGAGGTTTCCTCTAGCCATCACTGAGGTGTTTTTCCTTCCTGCCTGTGCTTGCCTAGGCAGTGAGGATGGTGCTGGTGACGAACTCGCTCTCCATGGCGGCTTTGTGCCTCTTGCACCGCCATGCAGGGTGCAAAATGACTCCTTGGTGCCTGCTGCCCTGCACTGAGGGTCCTGGAGTCCATGGGCAAGCAAAGGGGGAGCTCTGAGAGCCACCGCATCCCCCGGTGCAGGCCGGCTCTGTGCGGCCATGCTGGTGGGCGCAAGTGGCGGCGGCGGCTGCAGCCAAATGGAGGAAAGTTCATGCCGGGGGGGCCAGGGAGGCCCCGGCCGGAGGCTCTGGAGGGCCAGGAGGGAAGTGGGTGAAAGGGGACGTTGTTATCCCCTCTCCTCCTCCCCCACGGCCAGCCTGTCCCCACGTGGTGGCGGGGCCTGTCACCTCCCCGTCGGGACACCCTGGCCTTCCTCAGGCATGAGGAGATGGCGGGCGGTGGGTGCTGCTTGCCCCCATCTTGTCACCACAGGAGCCCCCTCCCTTGGTCTCCTCCTTCCAATGGAGACCGGGATGGTGGTGGCTGCTCTGTGGGGCACGCTGAGCCGGGTGACCTGGTCCCCTGTGCCCCACCCCCGACAGGGTGACTTCAATTTCATCTCCAGCCCCAGCCCTGTCGGGCAGCTGCGAGGAGCCGAAATCCTTCCCGGGCCTCAGGCGAGGAGCAGCCCTGCTGGGGACACAGAGGGAACAGGCCCAGCCTTGTCCGGGTCCAGGGCACCTGTCCCCTGCGGACAAAGAGCCGCTTGATGGCGGCCCTGGCGGCAGGCTAACCCTGCTGGCTGCCATGCGTTTTGTAACCGGCCTCTCCAAGCCCTCCCGGGTGGACTTTTAACAGCACTGTGGAAACAGCTTCGCTGGCAGCACGGGGCAAAGTCCCGGGTGGGAAGAAAGGAGAGGTGGGAGCTCGGCCCCAGGGAAGGGGGCAGGAGCCATCGGCATCAGCTCGTTCCCACAGTCACGAGCTGCGGATCCTCTGGGATCTGCTGGCTCGGTGTGGTTCCAGCTATGGGGTCAGCTGGCATGTGGGGAGGCCTCGAGGGATGTCTGCCTTGGGCTGGGAGCCGGAGTCACGTGCTGAGCTACTGTCCGGCATTCCCGACTTTGGAACTTCCTTGTGGTTTCTTTGTGCATGCCCATGTTGGGATGGGGGAGGCTTCTCTCCTTGCGCTGTGCTGCCGGAGCATGGGGCATTCTTGGTGCTCTCCCATCCTGGGTCACCAAATCCTGGTCTAGTGCCCAGCCTTGGACTGGAATGCAAGGAGCTGTATTTGGTGAACTGGAAGATGCTGAGGAAATAGCATTTTAACCGCACTGATGTGATGTACCCAATGCAATGGCCAAGGCACAGATCTGGGAGCAGAAGGACTGGGACTGTGCTTGGAGAAAACCCTTGAGGAAGCGAGACTTGGGGCACTCAACTCACCTGCCTCCGCTTTCTTTCTGCAGAGCTTCCAGAAAACTGCCAGCAGCTCCTCCTGGAAGGGCAGCAAAGCAGCGGCATCTTCCAGATCCAGCCCACTGGGTCTCAGCCCTTCAAAGTCTACTGTGACATGACAGCAGGTAAAGTGGGGAGAGGCTGTGTGTCCATACAGATTTTGCACAGTGGTCTTGCAAGCAGTAGCCCTGAAATGACCAAATTCTTTCCTTCCACAGAAGGTGGCTGGACAGTGATCCAGAGGCGTAAAGATGGCTCTGTGGACTTTGACCAACTTTGGGATGCCTATAGGAATGGCTTTGGAGACCTTCATGGTAGGTGGCTGAGGGCATCCGTTGTCTTATCATGGGATAAGTGCTATCTTAACATAGCACAAGATGTTCCCCCTTGCTGGCCCCTGGAGATCTCTACCCACACTGTTGGTTTGTGTCCTCCTCCTCATCCCAAGTGTCCTTGACAGGTCCTAGTCCTGACTATCCTGGAGCAGCCTGCTGCCCCATCTGCTTTACACAACACGGCTGTGTACCTGCAACCAATGCAAACTCTCTTGTTTTCCAGGTGACTTCTGGCTGGGCCTGGAGAAGATCCATCACCTTGTCCAAGAGGGAAGATACAATCTGTTGATCGAGCTGGAAGACTGGGAGGGGAATTCCCAGGCGGTTCAGTTTGTTTTCAGCCTCGGTGGCGAGAGCACAGCCTATACACTCAACCTGCTGGGACCTCTCTCTGGAGAACTGGAAAATGCCATTGGGGACTTCAGGCAGCTGCCCTTCTCCACTCGAGATCGTGACCATGATCTCAAAGCTGACACAAACTGTGCCAAACACCTGTCAGGTCAGTAATATCTCCTCCTTCCTGAGCAGGGGACAAGTGCTTCCCCTTGGTGCTGTTGGTAACACCAGGGCAGAGCCTGCAGCAAAAGGCCTGGGGCTCTGAGTGGGCTGGGGCAGGGGCTCTGCTACATTTGACCACTTTGGGGTTGAGCTCAGCTTATTTCCTGCTTCCCTGGAAAACCTGTGGGAAGAATTGTTGGGAGGAGCTGTGCAGGGAACTGGAAAGGAGCTGAAACCAGGGGAAGTTTGTGGTTCAGGTCCTGGCCCAAGCATGTGTCTGCATAACAGCTCTGCTGGCTGCCACCTTGCTTGGAAACCTTCCAAGAAAAGTGGAGGCCAGCCCAAAGAACCGGATTGGGGCTGCTGAAGGGATTAGTTAGCGTTTGCGTGCAAGCCGAAGAGCAGCAAGAGCATGTGGACAGGGCTCAGTCTAGGCCTGAACTTGTACAAAGCCTGTCAAAGGTTTCTAGTACATGGAACTTTCCAAATGTGTACAGGGTCTTAGCTCCACAAAGCACCGGAGCTTGGGGAAAATGTGCACAGCAGCTACTTTAAACCTGGCTTTCTTCTCTGTCTGAAAATGCTGTGGATTAAACCTGCTGCTTCATTGCCTTGGTAGGTGGCTGGTGGTTCAGCACTTGTGGCCATGCCAACCTCAACGGGAAGTACTTCCGCTCCATTCCCCGCCAGCGGCATGAGCGCAAACAAGGCATCTTCTGGAAGACATGGAAAGGGAGGTACTACCCTCTGAAGTCGACCACCATGAAAATCCAACCCACAGAGCTGGAAGCAGAACCCTAAAGCTGCTGTTTCAGACTTGACCTTCTCTGTGGAGCGCAGATATGAGCTCCATCACTTGGTGTTTACAGAAAACAACCCCACCCTTCCCGGGAATCCACAGGGGACCGTTCCTCTTGCTCGTAGCCCTTTAGTGGGCAGTGACTGTGGCCAGGCACGATGCAGTGATCAGCTTCTCACTGTAAGTAGAACAGATTGGTGTTGCTGAGCCTCATGGATGAGAGCTCCCAACCCAGAAGAGGACCTGCTGGCAGGGAGAACCATCTCCAGAGCACGCAGAAGTGATCTGCAAACCTGCCTTGTGCCACGGCAGTGAGTTAAAGGCATCTGGTGCTTTCTGTGCCGTCTGAACACTTCCATGCTGGTTTTGCTCAGCTGAGTGCTGAGTCCAGGGGAGAGGGAGGCCTAGGGAAGTGTTTTGTTGCCCTGGATGGAACAGTTGGGTACAGCTGGGCTTTGGTGTCACCTCTCACTGTGGTTCCCGAATGAAGCTGCATGCACTCTCCTCTGAACGTCCCCAGGTCCTCCTTCCTCCTGCCACCACTGTGTGGGAAGGAGGATCTCACACCTCCATTTTGCATTTCCTTCCTAGCCTGCACTCCAGTGATTTTACACCCAGTGAGAATGAGCTTTGGGAAAGACATTTTGGGGACCTGAGGCTCGCTTGGCTTCCCTGCCCTCTTAGGCTTCGTGTATTTCTGGCTGTGCTGGAACTTGCCAGGAGCAGGGAAAACTCCTCCTGCTCCAGGAAATGGATGGTTGAGATCCCAGAGCTGAATACACAGGGGCTGGAGGAGACCCTGGAGAGCCTCTTGTTGCAGTCTGACTCTTGAGCTCTGCCTGGAGCCCTTCACTGCTGCTGACCATGGCCAGAGTGAGCTCTAGGACAGCACAGGGACAGAACAGCGTTGTCCCCGGGCAAGACCAGCCTTGTATTTCAGCCTGAAAGAGCTGGCTGCAGCCACGTGTCCCCTTAAAGCCTGGAGCTCTTCTCCAACTCCATCCTTTGCAGAGCAGGTAGCACCATCCCTGTAGTGTGACCTGAAATGAATCCCTTATAAAGGGCCATGGTCCAGTGAGAGGTCTCTGCAAGAGGACCACATACGTGTCATGTACATATCCCAAAATACAGTGTAGCTTTTACCTTTGGAGGGGGTGTAAGAGGCTCTCTGGGGAGATGTGGGCAAAACAGATCCCTGGAAACCTTTACAGGCCGAGCTTCCATCTTGGGGATTCCCAAGCATCCTGCCCTATTGAAGTCATATTGACTACTGTGCTAGAGCTCCTAGCTGCTAAATATTGTAAATAGTCATTTGTAGGACGTTGGATCTTTTTGAATTTCCTGTTTTAATTTGTTTCTATGTATTTAAATGCAGTGTTAATAACAATGTGGTGTAATTTATAAATGTTGGCTCTGGAAAGAAAAACTTGTAGTTTGTGTATTTTAAACTTTTTTTTGTACTGAAATATATTTCTGAAGATGCCTTTTAATAAAAACAAGCCTGTAAATGTCCTGGCTGGATTATTTACCTGACAGTTTACCAGGGAAATTGCATAGGGGCGATGCAAGGACTTCAGAAACTTTGCTTGGATCTGAGCACAATATTTCCTTCTGTGCTGATTTTTTTTTTAGGTGTAACTTTAGGGATCTGAATTTGGCACCTCTGGAAAGAGCCATTGGGAGACACCCCCACCCAACAGCTCCCTGCAAGCGCTGTGGTGCAGTGGAGCCTGTTACAAAACACTGGTTTGGATAAGGCTGTGCGCTACCCAAATGCACAAGTTCTTGCTTAGCCCAAGAAGCAGAGCTGCTGCTTCTCCCCTCTCCTGTTCTTGGTTTATTTGGCTGTATGGTTCTCCAAAACTCCTAAACGATGATGCTGCAAGACACTTCCAGCTCCCAAGGGTGTGTGTTGAGTCTGGGAGCCCTTCCAGGATACAAACAGATTCACCAGGTTCTGTAGCTGGTCCACGTGCAGAAGAAACAAGTCCCTCCCCTCCCAAAACACTGCTTGGATCCTCTAGCTCATTTGTTTTTAGCAAATATTTGAAATAGAGCTCGGTGCTCCCTCCAGTGACAGAAAAAGCAGCAGCACCCAATGCTGCAGAAAACACCCGTGCAAATAACAACCCTCCAGTTATGAAATGCTACTGCTGCAAATAGGCTCCTGCACAGGCCGGGACACGTTATGGAATCCTGGGGCCCCGCAGCAATTCCTAACATTATGTTCCTGCTGCAGCTGCAAAAAGGCTTTCAGGATTCGCTCAGCCTGAGCAAGACACACTTGGAGCTCTTAGCAAAGCTGCTCCGTGCCCTTGGGAATAGAGGCCTGCTGCTAGTTCCCGTTGCCTATCCGGCTTCTCCAAGGGCTGCTTTGCACCATCCCTGCTTCCCATGGCTTTTCTGCCTCTCACAGCAGTGCAGGATAAATTATATCTGCCTTTAATCTGCCCCCCTGAGCTGCAATGGGTTTCCAAGAGGGATGGCCTGTGCATGTGGCTGTCACGTATCCCTCTTTAAAGTTTCCAAGCACTAGAGGAAGGGAAGGGGATCATCTTGATCCGAGCCAAATAATCTGATAATCTGGTTCGTTTTGCTTTTCCTGCTAAACCAACCTCCCCCACTGCAATGTTCCTGCAGATCCAGCAAAGCATCCACTGCTAATGGCCTGTGCATGTGGCTGTCGTGTATCCCTCTTTAAAGCGTAGAGAAGTTTCCAAGCACTAGAGGAAGGGGATCATCTTGATCCGAGACAAATAATCTGATAATCTGGTTCGTTTTGCTTTTCCTGCTAAACCAACCTCCCCCACTGCAATGTTCCTGCAGATCCAGCAAAGCATCCACTGCTGGCTCTTTGCCCGTTCACCCGCATTCCTTAGCACTTGCATAGGGGGAAGCAGGACCCCTAGGAATTAATACCCCAAAGAGCAGGGTGCTCAGGTGCCAGCTGAAGATCCCCCTGGGAAAAGCGGGACAGCGGAGCCGCTGCGAGTGCAGAAACAAACACATCCCTCCACCGTTACGTTATCACGTATGCAGCTCAGGAAATTGCCTTCAGCCCCGCCAGGAGAGAGGAAAAAAAAAAAAAAGAGGAAAATGTTTTCCTAGGACAAGTTGTGCCACTGCGCAGGACTGTTGTTTTTGCCAGGTACGTGTGGAAGTGCTGGAGGCTGCAGAAGGACCCGGCTATGCTGAGCCCCGTCCCCAACACCGCGAAAAGGGCAAAGCCCTTTTTGGGTCGGGAGTCGAGGGTCGAGAGGGAGGTTTTGGGTCGAGAAAACCCTGAAAACGCGAAGGCTGGAAAACTGAAGGCGGGAGGAGGGGGCCGCTGCGCATGCCTAG